TTTGATCCTCAATGAGAGCACTTTAGCCAGAATTTTATAGATGCTTGTCACCAGACTAATAGGCCTAAAATCTTTTGGGTGGTTGGCATCAATCTTCTTAGGTATTAGGGCCAAAAAAGTGGCATTAATTCCAGGGCTTATAGTGTGATTGTCTGCAAATTCCTTAAAGACTTCACAGAGATGGTAGTGGGAGTAGCAAAGGGGAGAAGAAACAGGTGGTTCTCACAAGAGCTAAGACACATGCAACCTCCACATTTATTTTTTGGAAAAGGTAAAGGATAGAAATATATTAACAGAAAAAAGAAAAAAAGAAAGTTATACACAACAGAGCTCAGCTCTCCCATAAAGATGAGAGCCTCTACATATTTAAATATTACTAAACATAGATATTTAAATATTAGTACCTTTATTCAACCCTTGGATGGTCTTCTTTTGGATAGGTCAAGAAGAGACCACAGAGTTTGGACTGCTTTGTGCTTTTAGGGTTTTCTTGTGTGCATCTTTTTTCAGTGCTTTGTTGTCAATCCTGCTTCAAGTCATGGTTTCCCTGTTAAGCTGTTTCGTGTGGACCTATACCCTTCAAAATTAAGGCTTTCTGCTAGGAAGTGATTCTGGAAAAGATCATCACATGGCAACTAGCAAAAGAAAGGACCAAACTGGTGAATCTCTCCTAATATGTACTTTCTGTGTAGAGCACACTAGGAGACCCCTTCACACTTAATAATCTCCCCTCCTTTTGTCTCTGCTATTTGGGATATTTTTTCTTCTCTTTGTTTGCCTGTAGGTGGTTCCTCTTGGCTGATTTGAAAAGCTTGTTCAGCAATTTATTCTTCTGTCTACCAAAGAAAAAGGACAAGGTTCCATGGAGATGTACAAGAGCAGCTATTTTGTGGACAACTTGGGAAGAAAGGAGCAAGAATATTTTTGAGGATAAAGAACTCTGTATGGAATATGGAAGTCAAAAACGGACTGTTACGATAAGGGAGGCCCATTGGATAAGAACATAGTGATACTTCACTGATGTATCATATGATGATATAGCAGGATGCAGGAACTAGCAGGTGGTAGCTGGTTCATCCTCCGCAATAGATAGATAAAGGATTCCTTGGCAACCGCCTGAGTCTCCTTGAATCAAGATGAATTCTGATGGTTGCATACTTGATAACCCTGGGAAATCAGGTATTGGGGGTGTTTCCAGACAAGCAAATGGGTCTATGATGGCTTTGTATTCGGCGTCAATTGGGTTTAGGGACTCAACAAGAGCAGAGCTGATGGCAGTCTTACATGAGTTAAAAATGAGGTAGAGACTCCAAAACAGGAACATAATAGTAGAGGGAGATTCCAGTGGTGGACTGCAATAGAAAAAATACACAAGGAACATTGACATACATGTATATGTTGAGGGAAATAAGAAAGTCGGCAGCAGTAATGATGATTACATTTCAATGGGTGCCTAGAAGTGCAAACATCATGGCTGATGCTTTAGCTAGGCAAGGGATTAGAAGATCTCAAATGTATTGGGAGGATTATATTGTACTTATTTAAGAAAATGCTACTCAACATCCAATGTTTTGTGTGAACAATAAACCTCTGAATGGGACCATTAGAAGGGGCATGAAACCCCCAAAAAATACTTTGTTAAAAGCTGAACAGCTATTTAAGAGGCATGATCCAGCATCAATTTTCTAGTCTAAATGTTGTTGGTCAAAACCAAGGTGATGATGGTATTAAATATGATCTATGTTCCAAGGCAACAAATGATATTAATGAAGAAAATTATTGCAACAAAAATTAACAAAGTATTAGCAGTAGAATAGCAACAACACCTGACTACTACATATTTTATATTTACAAACACACATATAATGTATGCATCATCCTAATACAGGAAAGGAAACAAAAACTACAAAGAACATTCTATCTCTATAGGCCGAAACCTAGACAGTGATGTTCTCCATCACAAGTTGCATCTAGTTATAGAAATTTCCAGTTCCCACATTCAAAATAATATTCAATCAGAACTAGCATCCAATTTATCAAAAATAAAAAATAAAACAATCAAAACATGCAACCAAAATTTTATTTTGCTAAAAAAACCTATATAGATACCCAATTTTATCATAACTTCTAAATTAAACATGGGGTGCACATTGAAATTTCTTTTTCTTTTTCAGGCAATCCACTGCCAAAATCATGTATACTTTGTTTTCATAAAACAAAGATCACATCTAATTCCTATTATTGCAGAAAGCTAAATAAATATATCCACGTCTGTGTTATAATAATAGAGATGCCAAAGGAAGACTCTGGTGCAAGATCTAGCTGAGGTGAAATCCCTAGGTGAATAAGGCTTCTAGTGAAACTTGATTCAAATTTATAGAAAAGTTTGATACATAATTGTCTTTTCAACAAAAGACTAATTGAAGTACAAAATTAGGCTTAGAGAACAAGCATTATGTATACCCTCATGATCTTCTCAGTATCCTCTGTATGCGGCAGTGACCTCACCAACTTCCATCTCAGCATTATCAACATGAGAAACATCATCCAGAACCTCTTCATCTTCCTTATCCTCTAACTCCTCAAACCCATTCTTGCCTTCGGAATCATTGTCAAAAAGATCATAATCTCCTTCATTTTCTAAGAAGTCATTAAAAGTCTCAATTCTCCGTTTCCTTCCCCTGTAACCAGTAAGGCTTTGGACTTTTTCCTTCCAAAGCACCAAGGGACATTTCTCAATCAGCTCAGACCCTTCATAGGCTTCTGTTAAAAACACATTGAATCTCTTTCCCCTCTCAGAAACATAAAAAATGCCAAAATGCTTTAGAAGAAGACGCATCAATTTCTGAGGCATTACAAGTTCCTTTCGAAAATGAGTGAGGTGGTCAGTGACAAGTTTCTTCTCAATGGTAAAGCTAAGCAGTTCATGCATCACAGCAACTGCCCTTTTATCAAATTCTTGTGACCCAGCTTGGAGGTTTCGTGCATCAGCATACGGAGAAAGGTATGACCGTTTCTGAAAGTTATCAATTTTCCCCCCATAACGAAAAATCTTCTTATAGTTAGGAGGGAATTTCAAGGGGAAAGGAAATGAGAGCATTCCAGGGGTAGGGAGTTCAGATTCAGACACCCCTATCACCTTCTTCTCCAACTCTGTTATGGCCCAAGCTGGATTCCAAGAAACAAGTTCTAGGTATTCAATATCATCCTCTGATTTAACCACCCTAAAATGTTCAGGGTACTTATAGATCCACCTTGTTCGGAAATCATATGGCAGTCCAAAATCTCTTCGAAAATGTGCTATCTTGTCGACAGGAAGTCGCTTGTCCACAGACATCATCAAGAACCTTGTAACATGCTCAGCAGCTTTCTCTCCATGCTCCTCCAGAAGCTTTGCCTCTTCTTCCACCAAGTCCTCAGCCTCTTTGGTCATCCCACACCATATTACACCCTTTCTATCCTTGTACAATTCAAGCAATTTTGGTGATTTCCTAATGAAGTCAGAAATTTTATGGGGCTTTGGCAGGTTAATCTGCCTCCTGTACTGCTCCAGTGATCTTAGAGGAATAATTTGCTCTGGTTCTCTCTTCAAAACCTCCATAAAAAATAGCATCTTCGATACTACCTTCCACTTTTCTGTTGCTATTTCCAGATCATGCACTCTTTTCTTCTTGCTTCTGTCTTGAACCCGCTTGCTTGTGGTCATTAGACGCTTCTGCAAAAGAACTTCCCAATATCCATTTCCCATAGAAGTATATGCTCTCTCATCTGTCAATAAAAACCGGGTAGTTCCACTGAGTTTCTTCATCAAATCCAAGACTCTAAAAATGAAAGAGGTTGCCATTGATAGCTACTTGATGATAGACTGTTCAAAACCTTAAGTTTTTTGAAGGTATCTCCATTCCTTTATGTCCACTTTGGGAATCTACATATACCAATTGTAACTTTACATAAATATTCAAGTATTACACTTGAACCAAAATGTTACAAAGAGCTTGAATCATCCAGTGTCTAAATGACAAAATGTTTAGGTATCTGCAAGAATCCAAAAGAACCAAAATTAGTAAAACACGATGAACCATTAAATAATGCTTCTTAAAGACCACAAGGTTACATATAATGAGCACAGTGGCAAAAAAGGAAAAAAAAAACATAGAATTATTGCCATATGTACATTGGTATTTCTGCTGGGCAATAGACATCAATAAAAATTTATCACAGAAAGAGTGAGAATAAGCATCTTGTACTGTTGCAGCCCTTTATTTCATATTATCATTTTTGACAATTAAATGAAAGACACTTCATTATAGAGACAAGGGCACAGTACATATGCAAGGTGGGGAGGTAACAGCCCAGATATCAAATACAAAAATAAATCCAACAATATCTTAGACTCTCTGGATTGTGTTGAGCATACAGGAAAGCAATAAAATGAATAACATAGACTACAGCCAACTCCTGAAAACACTTAGATGACTTCAAAAATCTCTAATGTAGCCCAAAAGGAGCACCTAGATCAAATTATTTGAATGCTGGAAAAATATAGATGAGCTCTGACACGATTAATAATGATATTATCAGTCTCTAAGTATAGTTTTTTGCGAGTTTTCTGATAATCTTCAAAAATCTTTTTATTGCTCTCCTTCCAAATATGTCAACAAATGTCAAATGACACACAGCTCAAAAGAAAAAAAAAATCACTTTCTTGCTTGAACAGATGGCAACAAACAAAAAATCTCCTTGGAATAGGTCTCCAAGCTCTTAAACTTAAAAGCGAAAAGAAGAAACCCCATATAAATTTGGAGAAGCAACAAGTAATAAATAAAGTTTTCATACCTTCATCTGATTGAAACATGAATAGCAAATGCTAGCCATGTACAAATCCCTTCTATTTAAATGATCTTGTAAGTATATTGTCTATTGTGATTTGTGAGTAACTTTGCAAAAGCTTCCACCCTAGGAAGAATAGGATTTCCCCAAACACCCTTTATATCGGTTTCAACCACCTGATTATAGAAAAGTGCATTATAAAAGTATTTAACAATCAACCGACCATTACTGCATTCTTTCCACTATCTTGCATGCCGATCTTGTAAGTATATTGTCTATTGTGATTTGTGAGTAACTTTGCAAAAGCTTCCACCCTAGGAAGAATAGGATTTCCCCAAACACCCTTTATATCGGTTTCAACCACCTGATTATAGAAAAGTGCATTATAAAAGTATTTAACAATCAACCGACCATTACTGCATTCTTTCCACTATCTTGCATGCCCCCTCCCCCAGGGAAATTGATCCATCCTTGATTGAGAAAAACAACATCTGACGTGTTTAAGGATTCCAGAATTCTAAGACCTGAAGATATTGGATGTGCTTACTACAAATGCTATACAATTTGATCTCTGACGGTGATGACCAGACCACCACCACCACCCCTCCAAAAAAAAAGAATGGAAGACTTATTTCAGGCTTGAAAGCATATCTGATGCATCTAGAATCAACCGACCGTTACTGCATTCTTTCCACTATCTTGCATCCTCCTCCCCCAAGGGAAATTGATCCATCCTTGATTGAGAAAAACAACATCTGACATGTTTAAGGATTCCAGAATTCTAAGACCTGAAGATATTGGATGTGCTTACTACAAATGCTATACAATTTGATCTCTGATGGTGATGACCAGACCACCACCACCACCGATCCAAAAAAACAGAATGGAAGACTTATTTCAGGCTTGAAAGCATATCTGATGCATCTAGAATCAGTCAATCAGTTTTTGGCTATGCACCCAAAAATCAGTTGATATCATCTGTTGCCTAGAACAAATATTGTATATTGAACTTGTGGGATCCATATACCGCCATACCAACTGAACTAGCACTAATGACCTTTTTACTAGTAATGCAGATAAGAAAAATGCATTATTCACCAAGGCAGAAAAAAGAAGTACACAGATAGTTCAAAGAATTAGAAAGACCAGAAAAACAAAAGTGCTAGTAAAAATTACTCTGTTATCATGCAATGAACAAGAAATGTGCTAGGTTACTGCCCAACACAGGGGCAAAATTGAGGTGCCTTACCTCCTGTTACAGAGAAGGAAGGGGGGAAGAACGAAAAGGAAAATGACTTAGAGGATTCATGTCCCTGTCACAGCCACCTCATGTCCCTGTTGGAAGCAACGAGTTGCAGCTCCAGGAAATGCCAAATTCAACGTTGCTACAAGCCATGCCCTCCTGATTTCCAAGGCGTTGCTTGGAGCACCATTTTTTGTGGAAAAACAGTTCCAAACAAACGCCCGTTTCCTGGAGCACCATTTTTTTCCAACGTGGAGCTGATGTGGCATCGTTTTCTAGAGCAACAGCAATGATGCCAAACAGACGCAAAGACTGATGGTCATAACAGTCACACCGTAAAAGTTGATATTAACCCAACTTTCTCAATTTGACATTAAGAATACTCTTGCCCTGTCTGAATACACAAATAATAAGCATCATTTAAAGAAAACTATACCATGCATTTTGATATGTTGCGGACAAGTGAGTGGGGATTAGACCTAAGAAGAAAGGAAAAAAACACTTGTACACCTGAAGGCAGAACATTTAGAAGCTGGAACAGAGATTCAGTTTCTAAATGGATCTCTATTTCCAATTGCATGCACCGATTAAGAACGCTTCACTACATGTAAAGTACCAAAACGGAGATACAACATCCGAAAACAATACCAACTTCCTATCCTAGCTTGGTACAATACTTCTGCTTGTATAGCCTGGCCGTAGAAACAATGACTAGTTAAAATGGAACCCACCATAAACAAGACCATTTCAATCTGCTTCCAATTTATATTATTTACCGATTGAAGTAGTTAAAGATGTTCAGAACTGAAAGCCAAATGCATCATCACGAAAAAAAAGGAAAATTCATTCTTACAAAACAATCTACACTCTAATGATATAAAATTACTAATCTACTTCCCACACTTCCAGATTAGAATCTTAAAACAAATTTGCTTCACGGTTGCTCTAGACCAAAAATAATAATTGCTACTTTACCAAAAAAAAATATAATAATAATTGCTTCACCAGTGCATATCGATAACATAATTGAATCTACACTTTGGAGTTATTGATTGCAAGTAAAACATACAGATTTAATATGCAAAAAATAAAAATAAATAACAGGCTTCATTTTTTTCAAACTTGTTAAAGCCACAGAACCAAGCAACAAATATAGTTACGACAATATTGTTTCGTAATTCTTTATCGAGGGGAAATTGGTGTCCGGGGAGGGGCTGAAGAAGAGAGACAATACCTTTGGCGCAACGACGGTGGCAGCTCTTACCACGAGCCCCCGGAAGGACCTCTGGTTGAGTCCAATACTGGAAATCCCGATTAAAGAAACACAATAGTCCTGGATGGACTAAGTCCTTGAAGAGAAGGAAATACACGGGTTGAAATAGAAGAACCAGTAAGGAAATCCACGGGTCAAATGTATAAGAAAAAAATCATCTCAGACAAGTAATATCTGCATTTTATCAAAGCAAAAGACGAATTTCCATACAATCGAAAGTGAAGAATTGTTTCCACTGAAAACTTTTATCTTTCCACTGCAGAGAGGAAGAGGAGAAGAAGATAAACCCTAGAAACTCTCAGAGAGCTATGGGGATGTCACCTACTGTATACTTTGAACACCGTGGCCCACGGCCATGTATGAGGATGTCGAGGCTGAGGTATATTTCGAATGGCCCGTTTCGAAACGAAAGAGTCCGTTACGTTACTACTGGGATGAGATTAGACCTGTTCATGGGCCGGGTAATCCGATGGCCCGGACCGCACCCTGATCAGGTTTGGTCATGTAATTAGGTCCGCGGGCCTGACCTCGGGCCTAACACAGTAAGTCCGACTGTGTTTCGGACCAAACTCGGGATTTGTCAAAAAAGTCCGGCCCGAGCCCGGCCCGGCTCGACTCAGCATTATATATTTTATAAAATATATAATATTTATTTTATATATTATATAAAATATATAAATAATATAATATTTATTAAAATATATATTTATAATTTAATATATACATTTTTTATTCTTTTCTTTATAATCTCTCTCTCTATTCAGCCGCTAACAGTATGGGTTAAATTTCGGGCTCGGGCCCAGGCCCAGGCTTCGGGCTTTTATGAGGACCGGGCTCGGGCTCGGGTCTTAGAAAATTCTGTTAATATAGAGTGAAAGCCCGGCTCGACCCATAAACAAGTCTAGATGAAATTAAAGAGGTATCCTCTTGTATGATTAACAATAACAAAATAATTCTTAACTCACATTGAGTGGTTCAGACCCAAACATTACTGCATCAAGATTAACTAACTTTGATGCTTATTGCTGGAATTTTGGTAAATGTGTTATGGGATGTATAGCTCAGAACCATCAAGGCAAAGTACGGGAGTCTAAAGCTATAGAAATTGGAATATTAACTATCAACATCGCAGAAGCTTGGGCAGCTTGGGATGCCGATAATGTTGTTATTAATTATAGGGATCAGAAAATCGTTATCGAAGGAGATTCTAAGTTAGTAATTGATTGCCTCAATGGAAGACTATCCTCCGTGGAGATTGGAAAGTATCATCAAAGAATGTCAGAATCTAATTGACTTCTTCAATTTAAATATCAAATTCAAGCATGTATATTGGAAATCAAATCAAGCGGCAAACTAGTTAAAAGTTTTAGGTATTGTGATTTCCTTTTTATTTGTGATGCGAATGTAAGGAAAAGAGGTACCCCATCTTTGTCTAGCTCATCTTTTGCCAACAAAAAGAAAAAAGTCCTGTTTGGCCCATTTGGAAACGCTAGGAGAAAGCTAAAGCATACAAATTGTGTTTCTTGTATATCTTTACAAATGCACCAGATATCACTCATATGGTATATGATTTGTGGGGCCATCTTTATGACAGTTGGAGATCCGTTAGAAATGCCATAAAATAAAACAAATTTTATAATTTTATGATATGACGATAGTATCCTTGAAGGATTTGCTTAATCAAAAATTCAAAACCGAAAACAAAGCTTGTGACAGTGTATACCAGTAATCCATTGGGTGGGTTTAGATATTTTGTCCTTGCACTTGGTTTTGACCCAAAAATTTTAACTTTTTGGGCCGGATTCAAGCCTAGTTCCAATCCCACTTTATCCCAATTGTGTAATGGATTACACAATACGGGTAATCCTCCCCTAAACTCCTTCAACTCGGGTGAAGGCAAGATTTATCCCATATCTTTGCTATGACCAGCTAAAGAATTTAGGATACGAATCTGCTACCAACAAAATGCTATCAACCCTGTCCTAAGCAATTAGGGGTGGATTCAAACCAAGCCAAATACTTGGCTATTCGAGTTCAATTTGCAAAAATAGTGTAGGCTCAAGCTTGATTCGAGTTAGAGACTTGAACTTGAATTTGATTCCAAGTCAAGTTTTTTCTAAAAAAATAAAAATTATACATATAAAAATAATAAAAATAATTCATTATATATAAATATTTAAATGTATATGTATGTATGTATAATAAAAATTATTTATTTATTATATTAGGCTCAATTAGGCTCACATACCTCACGAGTCGAGCTTCACTGTGCTCAAGCCCGGTTCAACCAATCAAATGTGAAGTCTCCCTTGCGTTCAGTGCATTTTGGGAAAATGAAATAACCATCTCTCTCTCTCTTATATATATCTATATCTATATATATATATATATATAAAACAAGTTATTGAAGAAATTTTCTCCTATTTTTGAATTTTTATTTTTTTATTCTATATCATTTTCAAAACTGTGCAATAAAACAAGTGTTTTAATTCAATTTCCCATCCACTTTGGAGTTTTCTATTTCACTCCACTGTCAACCCACCTTTTTATATGTTGATCACCTTCCCACCACTTTTCATTCTTGAATTTCATTATAAAGGAATGTATGTGTAAAGCAGATATTTAGGAAGGAACATATGTTGGTAGGATACTGCTCTACTTTCCTCCTCACAATAATCCCCTCCTTCCATTACTATCACAATCATTCTCACAACGATTGTGATGAAAGAAGATTTGGCCCGACCTCGTAATCACTCAACACGTGGCAAAGGCAACAGCTCGACACAACAGCACGCCCAAGGCGCAAGCTCCGAAAGGACGAATCAGCGGTCCGAACTCCCTACAAGGAGCCCAAGCTCTCCCTTAGGCCCCGAGCCTTACGAACACAAAGGGCAACAACCCGAACTGGCCTACCCCATAGCAATTCGGGACACACCTCTATCCGAACTCAAGACTTCACCTCGCTCACCACTCCAGCACTTTGCCTCCAGGACGCAGAACTGAACAACCGTACCGTGCCTGACACCGAAGGAGTCCGTATCCAGGGGCGGCRCACCTGAATGACTTGGGATCTGACGCTTGACAGCCGCACTTCAACGGCCACCTGTCACCGCCATCTCCAGTTACAGAGACAGCTCCGACAAAGAGAGCAGTGGCGGTTCTGCCCTAGCAAAGGTGATGACACCCGAACTGGCAAGAGCGCAGAGATAATCATACCCGACCTAACAGAAGCTTAGGAGTGAGTGCGCAAAGTGGTTATAAAAGGCTCCCTACCCCCCAAGAACAAGGTATATAAACTTTGCGCCATCTGGTTTTATCTTGCCTTTGAAAGACTACTAACTTGAGCTTCGAAGCAATCTCACCGGGTTCCTCCCCGGAGATTCCCCACTTTCTTCTCCATTTTAGGCCCCTTGTTGCTTCAGTCAGAGGCAAGATCGTTGACAGCTAAGACCGGCCGGATTGCGCACCATCAATTGGCGCCGTCTGTGGGAAACGCTTCTAAAAGCCTCCCTCTAAAACTCTCATAACCTCTTTTTCTCTAAAAAACCCCAACACTCATGGCTTCTTCCAGCAACGCCGGACGTGGCACAGAGATGAACACCACCGGGGAACAACTTCAAGTCCCCGTGGTGTGCATTGGACAGTTCACCATCCCCCTTTCGGTGGATGGGATCCCCAGCCTGAATGCGTCACGAACAGTGGCGCCCGTAAACCTTCCCGCCATGAATGTCCCCTTTCCACTCCCTGTCGAAACAACCTTTACTAAACCAACTGTTGTCCCCTGGCGACCAGCCAAAACCAGTTTGACGACCTGATGCAATGCATGCGGGCAATGCAAGCCCAAACGCAACAATTCCAGCAGCACCAAGTACTGCACCACATCTCCCAGTATCACTATTAGTAGTAGTTCCCCCAACTACCTCCAAACCAACCACTGCTTCCACCTCGACACCCTGCTCCAAAGCCGGTTAAGCCCTCCCCTCAAGGTGAACGCCATCACCAAGGAGAAACCTCCCAGCTTCAGAACCCCCACAAGAGCCAGGCCTCATCCCCGGGCCGAGGGAAAAGAAAAATCACCCCCGCCTCTCAGCTCGCCGGCGGGTCGGGAACCTCGCCCTCCAAGTCAGTGTCTCGACACTCCAAGTCTGAACTCCCGCTAATAGAGAATCGGTTAAGCGTCCTACCAGCAGACTACCAACAGTCCGGGCCCATCGAGCTCGGCAACATGGAGGCCAACAACGCTAGTATCAAGCCCACTCAGCAACGAAGGCGCTGGCAAAGTCGCCGAACTGCCACCCGTGTCCTACCCGAGCTCAGAGGTAAAGAAGAGACAAGCTCGGACAAGGTAAAAGCTGTCCCTATTCTCTCAGTTCCTTCCCCCCTCTCATCATAACTCCTTGTAGTCCCCATGCCCAGAGACTTCAAGCTCCCCCCTTTGGACAAGTATGATGCATCCTTCGACCCCAACAACCACGTCGACGCCTTCTAGTCCCAAATGCACCTAGCCAGGGCCAGTGAATCGTGCATGTGCATGGCCTTCACCACCACCTTCAAGGGGGTGGCCCGCACTTGGTACCGGAACCTGGCCCCCGGATCAATAAGAAGCTGGACCCAGTTCGTGCAGGTCTTCACCGCACACTTTGTTACCAGCAAGCGGTGCCCCAGAACCGAGGAAAGCATCTTCGGACTAGTCCGAAGTGAACGAGAATCCATACAGGGCTACATCAAGCGATTCAATGATGCATGCTTGCAGATACCGCGACTGGACCCCGCGGTGCAGCTCACGGCGGCCAAGAGAGGAGTAACGCACAAGGAGTTCAAATGGCACATGGTAGCTAACCAACTCGCGACCGTGGCCGAATTCCTCAAGCTCGCAGATAAGTTCAGGAGAACAGAGGAAGAGATCAACCAAAGGACCGAAAGCGGGATCGAGAAAAGGAAGAGGGAAGGCGAGCCCTCCAACCCAGTTAACAGAAGAAAAAACTCGGCCCGGGAGACGAAGCCGAGCCAGCCGTTCCGAGCTCCCTTAGCAGCTCGGACGGACTACACACCCTTAAACACGAGGCGGACTGAGAACTTGATGACAATCAAAGACGCTCCATACGTCAAATGGCCACCTCGCCTGAAAGGGAACCCAAACAAGAGAAATAAAAACTTGTACTGTAGTTTCCATAGAGATCACGGTCATAGTACCAAACAATGTAGTAATCTCCGGGACGAGATAGAGGGACTCATCCGGCACGGAAAAGATGCCCCTGAATCCAGCAGCAGGCCAATCGAACCATCGCAAAGACAGCCTCCGGAAGAGAGGCCAGTTCGGGGAACCATCCACGTGATAGTGGGAGGTTCGGTGGTAGCAGGTTGTACTT